GGTCTGCTACTCATGCTGGGACCGACGAAGACCATGACTAAGCACATGTGAAAACGTACCGGCTATGGGGAGTACGTCCACAGCTGGTATCCTCAGCGGGGACAGGACCCTTATCCCTGCAACGTGCTACATGTTGTCATAAGCATTGCACTTTGCAGATGGCAACATACGCCATTCCGGGTGTCTGGCACGACGACGACACAAAGGGACGGGACCGTAATCCCTCAACACATTCCATTCCTTGCGTCTGGAAGGAAGAACCGAAACCTATTCTTCTGTGGGCCCGAAACCTAGCCCATGACGACGACTTCCTGCAGGATGGCTTCAAATCTTTACCTCTGGCAATAGGAGAAGTAACGACCAGAGGGAGGATTGCACAAGTGTAAATGTAAGTGTAAGTGTAACTGTGTGTGTGTGATTCTGTGCATGTGATTATGTGTGTGTGATTATGTGTGTGTGTGTGTGCTTGTGTGTGTGATTGTGTGTGTGTGTGTGATTGTGTGTGTGTGTGTGTGTGATTGTGTACTGCGGTGTTCGAATCCCTGTAAGTATTCAGAGTTGAGGTCGAGACACAGCGTTGCAGCACGGTGAGGGCACACGCTCAATATTAGGTGATATGGCCCACTAGCTTACGCTTGAGCCAAAACGCTAACACAACTACACCTTCTTGCACGCAACACTACAGCAAGCACACGCACTACGCCTGCTACAAAGCAACTCTCGGGAGCTAGGGCCTCAGTCCCTTTCAACCTTCACAGTGTGTGTGATTGTGGATGTGTGTGATTGTGGATGTGTGTGATTGTGTGAGTGTGTGAGTGTGTGAGTGTGTGAGTGTGTGAGTGTGAGAGTGTGAGAGTGAGTGTGTGAGTGTGTGAGTGTGTGAGTGTGTGAGTGTGTGAGTGTGTGAGTGTGAGAGTGTGAGAGTGTGAGAGTGTGAGAGTGTGAGAGTGTGAGAGTGTGAGAGTGTGAGAGTGTGAGAGTGTGAGAGTGTGAGAGTGTGAGAGAGAGTGTGAGAGTGTGAGAGTGTGAGAGTGTGAGAGTGTGAGAGTGTGAGAGTGTGAGAGTGTGAGAGTGTGAGAGTGTGAGAGTGCGAGGGTGAGTCCGTGTGTGTGTGTGTGTGTGTGTCTGTGTGTGTCTCTGTGTGTGTGTGTGTCTGTCTGTGTGTGTGTGTGTGTGTGTGTGGCTGTGTGTGTGTGTCTCTGTGTGTGTCTGTGTGTGTGTGTGTGTGTGTGTGTTGTGTGTATGTCTGTGTGTGTGTGTCTGTGTGTGTCGTGTGTGTCTGTGTGTGTGTGTGTGGTCTCTGTGTGTGTCTGTGTGTGTGTGTGTGTCTCTGTGTGTGTGTGTGTGTGTGTGTGTCTGTGTGTGTGTGTGTCTGTGTGTGTGTGCTGTGTGTGTGTGTGTGTCTGTGTGTGTGTGTGTGTCTGTGTGTGTGTGTCTCTGTGTGTGTGTGTCTGTGTGTGTCTCTGTGTGTGTGTCTCTGTGTGTCTGTGTGTCTGTGTGTGTGTGTGTGTCTGTGTCTGTGTGTCTGTGTGTGTGTGTGTCCTGTGTGTGTGTGTGTGTGTGTCTGTGTGTGTGTCTGTGTGGTGTCTGTGTGTGTGTCTGTGTGTGTGTCTGTGTGTGTGTGTGTGTGTGTCTGTGTGTGTGTCTGTGTGTGTGTGTGTGTGTGTGTGTGTGTGTGTGTGTGTCTGTGCGTGTGGCTGTGTGTGTGTGTGTGTCTGTGTGTGTGGCTGTGTGTGTGTGTGTGTGTGCGTCTGTGTGCGTGTGTGCGTCTGTGTGTGTTTGTGTGTGTGTGTGTGTGTGTGTGTCTGTGTGTGTGTGTGTCTGTGTGTGTGTGTCTGTGTCTGTGTACAACTCCTGTTGCTAAGGACTTGCTAGGTAACATAGCGGATTTGCAATCAGCAGGGGGGCAAGGGCTCCAGTGATAAGCCTTGGCTAATGAAGCCAAATCGCTGGAGTGGATGCAGTGGCTGATCACCACTGTGCACCTGCTTTCGGATTAGCCAGTGAGCCCCTGGTTGCACTGGAGCAATCAATACTAGAGTGAGATGTGAATGTGACTGCATCGGTTTCAGTCAGGTGTGTAGTCAGGCACAATGTTATCAAAGCTCAGCGTGGAGACATGCAGTTCCAGACAGCCTTCGTTCAGCCTACTGTCTGCTCCGGGGTTGCCCGGATGATGGACATGCCAATGACCAGCTGACGTTCCCTGATCGGAACAACAAGACCTCAGCCTGCTGATCTGTTACCGTCTGCTGATTTGCAAGAGATCCAGTCTGCTGACTCAGATCGTGTCTTTCCACGTCTCCAACTGAGTACTACATTGGCTATGTTTGCAGGGCCTCTTTCGCTCTTTGATGTTGGATTTGCATTGTGTTTTCTATTGATGGCTCAGTGCAGGTTCTGCATTTGTTGCTGACATGAGTGCATGTGAGGTAACTGTCTGCTCATGCACAAGATTACCTCGCTACTCCGCTGTCCTCTCTTCGATTCCTTCTGCCTCGGTGTTGATGCCTCCGACATGAGTGCAGGTGCGGTAACTGTTTTCTAGTGCAAGCGAACTGCTACTGAACTACTCGTCTGCATGTGTCTACGTCAACGTGTGCCTGTGTGTGTGTGTCTGTGTATGTCTGCGTGTGTCTGTGTGTTTGTGTGTCTGTGTCTGTGTGTGTGTGTGTGCGCGTGCGCGTGCGCGTGTGCGTGCGTGTGCAGGTGGGAGTGCGCGTGCGCGTTCGCGTGTGCGTGTGCGGGTGCAGGTGCGGTTTTGGTGCGGGTGCCTGTGCGTGTGCGTGTGCATGTGCGCATGCACATGCGCGTGCGCACGCGTGCGTGCGTGTGTGTTTGCTGTATCTTTTCTTTGTTGAATCCAAAGCGAACCCTAAAGCCATCTCCAAGATGAAGCCCCCCCGAAAATGAAATCCTAAAGCTGGAAGGTCGAACAAACCCTGAAGTCGTCCCGGGAAGCCCGAGCAAACCCTAAAATCGTCCGAAGATGAAGCCCAAAGCAAGCCAGCTTAAAGTTGTTCCGACAAAGGCAGAAAATGACGAAGGCCGGCGCAGAGCAAACCCTAAAAAAGCACTGAAATGACGCCTTTAAGTCGTCCGGAAGATGCAATGCAAACCCTGAAGCCGCCCAGGGCACACCCAAAGTAGCACTCAAGATGAAGAACCCTGAACCGCACGGCCCGTGAACCGTCTCCGGAACCCGCTGCCCCGGTAGCCTTACCCTAAAGCGAAGAAGGCAGAGCAAGCGAGCGAATCACAAGATGAAACCCAACGAGCAAACCGTAAGATGAAACCCTGAAGCGAGGAAGGCATAGCAAACCCTGAAGCCTCCCCCAAGATGAAGCCCGAAAGTCGTCCGGCTGCTGAAACCCTAAAGCGAGGAAGGCACAGCAAACCCTAGAAGCGTCCCCAAGAAGAGGGCATCGGTTTTTTTAACGACGGAGGCGGCGGGACGCAAGGCGCGGAATGCGGGAGGACGCGGCACACGGAGGCACTCGGGACCTTTCTTTCTATTATTGTTAGTTAGATAGATAGATCGACCGATCTATATGTTGGAATCGCCAAATGTCGGGGCGTGTTTAAGATCTATGATGAGGGGGTGTGTTAAAGATCAATGATGAACCGGAAACGCCAAACGCATGCAGGGGCGTGTCCAAGATATATGATGAAAAGATATCAGCACATGAGAGGGCGCTTCTGAGATACATGATGAACCAAGATCGCCAATCGAGGGGGCGTGTCTAAGACAGATGATGAAGAGGAAACGCTTAATGCGGGGGCCTGTTCATGATGAACCGAGATCGCCAATTCAGGGGGTGTTTAAGGTATAGATCACCAAAAAAGGATGCATACTTAAGCTCTATGACGGACCGGAATCGCCAAATGAGGCGACGTGTTTAAGATATATGTCAGTCTAATCAGCAAGTTGCTCCTGTTTCAAAAATGCGCTAATCGCGTTCGAACGGCTTGGTCTTGTTTCTCAAACACTTTCGTCCTTTGCGAGCGATTTGCTCTTGCTTGTCAAACGTTCTAATCCCTTTCGCCTTTGCTCCTTCTTCTCTAGGGCACCAGTCCTTTTGGAGCGGCTGGAGACTAGTCCCTCTTCAAGAAGCCTGTTTCCTTTTCTCAGATGCTCTAGTGCTTTGTTGTTACACATGCTCTAAACCCTTCTCTCCCTTTGTTCAATCGCGCCAGTCCCTTCCGAGCGGTTTGTGCAGTTTTTATTGCTGTAGTCTGTTGCGGGAGCGTTTCTCTGTCTTCTCAAACGCTAAAATTCATGTCCCACAATGTCCTTCGTTTTCACAATGCCCTCGCCCTTTTCTCAAACGCTCTAATCTCTTTCATCTCTTTCGTGTGGCTTCTTTCTGCCTGTTTCTCGATCGCTCTATTCCGTTTGGAGCGGTTTGCTCCTAATTCTCCGGTCGTCACGTTCCCATTGCGCGTGGCTTGCTTCGTTTTCGCCAATGCCCCAGTCCCTTTCAAGACAGTTTTCTCCGGCTTCTCCGATGAACCGTGTTAAGTGTCCCCTGCGAGCAGTTTCATTCTCGTCCTTCTCGAACAGGCTGTTCATGCTTCTCCAATGATGCCGTCCCTTTCGAGCAGCTGCCCCAGTTTTTTTAAACGCTTTAACCTTTTCCGAAGGATTCGCTCCTTGTGCTCCGATGCTGCAGTCCCTTTCGATTCATTTTCTCCTTTTTCTCAACTGCTCTGGTCCCCGTCGAGCGATCTAACTTACTCTCCTTTCTCACATGCTAAACTACCTTGCTGGCGGTTTTTTCCTGGCTTCTCCGAGGATCTAAGCCCTTTCGAGCACGTTGCATGCGTTTCTCCACAAAATTCTAGTGCTCTAGTTCTATTACTGTTAGAGTGGTGTACGCCTTTGCTCAAACCTCTAGACCGTTACCAGCGGGTTAATCCTTTTGCTCAAAGGCTCTGATCCATTTCGAGCGGGTTGTCTCGCATTTTTGTGCGCCCAGTGGGTCATATGTAGCTGTGCGCTATGGTGCCGATCCAATAAGCTTCAGCGACTGCACCATGAGGACATGCTTCTGCCAGGTGTGCCAAGCCACATTTTGCTTCCACTGCAGGCGCTCGGAAGGTTTGGACAGGTATTCCTCAGGTATGAAAGGGGTGCGCAAACTCAGAAGGCGGACACCAAACAAAAGACTGCTGCAAGAAAGCGACGATGATAGAAATATCCTCCTTCTGCTTGATTTCGGCTTCGTCCAATTTCTCCCGCCAGAGTTGGATAACTCGCTGACGCATGAAGAGATCAAAGAAGCCAATGTAGGTGCAAAAGGCACCGCAAATCAGAACATCCCCGATCCTCAGCATGTTGCTGCGAGCTGGTCAGCCCAAGCGAAGGGCGAAGCAACGACTGAAACAGTATTACACACTGCGTAGCAACTGCACTGCATCCTTCTGTGCTGGCCCGGATCATGCTGGCCGTCTGCTCCTGAAATCCCTTGGAAGAGCCTTGCCATCTTATCTTCTCTGATGAGAGGTCTGTAAGAAGCTGGGTTGATCTTGAGCAGTTCTTCTGAACCTAAGGCATTTCGCAATCACAAGGGAAATTGAATATGTCGACATTGGGCTAGTGGCTGGCACTGGCCATTATGAAACATCCGCGGGGCTTGCTGCATTTGGTGCTTGATCTGCTCCACGGAGGTGATCAGCTGCGCATACCTCGGATTCTTCGATCTCGTTCCAAGGGCTCGCGGCCAGGCGAGTGGTGTCATGCACAATGCGGCGAGGACGCTGCTCCTTATACTGCTGGATTTTCTTCTCCATCTCTGCAACCTCCTTCTCGCACGCCTGCAGCTCTACTTTATTCTTGTCCGCCTGCTGCTGCATCTGCTGGAGCTCATTCCTGCGCTGAAGTGACACTGAGACTGTCACTTCTTGACTTCCGCTACAATCTGAAGCGTGCGATTACGACTCCTCATGGGCTCCATCATGTTCAGGAGATCCGCAAACTGCAGTTGGCTTTCTACCCACTGAGCCACTGGACCGGCACAGCGGGACGCTTGCTTGATCCGCGACACATCCCATCCCTCAGGGCCACCAGCGCAATGTGTGGTACGCATATTACGTCTTGGTGCGTTGCTCGGAAGTGGCCTTGTTTTGGATGTACTTCTTCTTGAGTGTCTCCCTAGTGGCATCCTGCAGTAACAAGTCCGCGCTTGAAGACAATTGTTATCCTCTGAGGTTGGGGACTGAGGAATCGCAATCTCCAGTTCGAGAGGTCCTTCAGCTGCTCCGCGTCCTTGGATGTGGACACAGAGTGTACCGACTGCGTGGATTTGCACAAGGAGCAGTGGTCACGGCTTGACACCGAACCGGACATGAGAAAATCCTGATAATGGCCAGCGTCGTACTCCAGAATACTGGGAATGAAGTTTGCATCACGCATGACCTTGCGCACTGCCTCCCAGTTGATGGTGGCCGGCGGGATGTCCGGCCGGACCATGAGGATCACCGCCTCCATCGCCATCTTCACGTGCTCCGGGGGTTTGTTCATGGACCGGAGCCTCAGAGGCAACGGGCTCAGGCTTGTGGCTTCAAGACAGCTTCGCAGCTTCGCGCTTTGCGCGGCCCAGGGCAGGGGCTCGTCGAGGGCCTGCTTGTTGACAGCGCCCACGGCGCTCTTGGCGGCCTCCAGGGCGGGCTCCACCTCCTCGATCTTCTTCTGGATCTCCCCCCTTCTCTCGTCGATGACCTTGCTCTGCTCCGCCAAGTCCACCTCACAGCGACAGCAAGACGCAGCCCAGTCCACCCAGACCCAGCGACGCCCCTCCCGCCTGGCCTGGAGCTTCTGAGAAGCCTGCTTCCGCTCCTCGGCCTCGCCCTGGCCCTTCACCATCTGAGACATCATCCTGGGCGGCGCGACGGCCACGGCCGAGCTCCAGCACACTGCCGACACGCAGCCCAACAACAGACAGCCCAAAGCCAAGAGTCTCTTCCGCTTCCTTGTTCTTGGCCGTCAGCATCTTCTCCTTCTCGGCCAAGCCGCTCTGCAGGTTTGCCACTTGGTCCTCGGTCTCCTTGAGTTTCTTCAGGCCTGCTCCGAGGGCACGGGGCATGGGGGAGTTGAGGGTGCACGAATTCTGAAGCAGTTCGGCCTCCGTCGATGTGGCTTTGCTGGTCCAAGACTTCGTCGCGCTTCTCTGTCATCAATCCTCAGATTCGGCATGTCTGAAGCTGCACAAGTAATTTGGCACTCGGATTCAGAATCCCACCGATGAAGTGGTTGATGAAGTCGAGGAAATCGCGAGGTGTGATGAAGTTGTATCTCAGGGCGCTTTTCTTCAGGTCCACATTGGTCTGGTCCACCTGTCAACAACGTCGTAGTTGGCCTTACTTCCAGGAAATCAAGTCTGATAGAGGAGAGCTTTTTCGGCATGGGAGTTGGTGCAGAACCAGCAAGCCCTTTTGTCCTCGATCCCACTCCGCAGCCGCAAGGAACAAGCCAATGAGTCTGTTGATGGAACTTAAGCCCGAAACTGCGCAGACCCGAAGCCGATAGCTCTGAACAACACGCCTTGCAAGCATGCAAGTCCCGACCTGTTGGTGGAATGCCACAATCGTCTCCGACAGCTTCTGATGTCGAAGAGCATCCTCGCCAAGTGCATAAGCATAATTGTTCCGCAGATCCATGCTGCGAAGGATGCAGTCCTTCTCCTCGCCAGCCCCAGTACAGCCACCTCGGATTTGTTGAAGAGTTCTGCGGGCTCGCGGCAGTGACACCTTTCTTGAAAGGAGAGCGGCCGGTGAAGGTATCTTCACCTATCTGCATGCTGGCCTTGTCAATGTCAGGGCGCGTGAGAAGCCCGGGGTTGGAAGTTGGAAGTACGCCATACACTGCCATACACTGCAGGCCCAGTTGCGGTGAAGTCGGCGGCCACCTGCAGAAGAGCCTCCTGTGGCCAGTCCCCAAACCAATCGATGACGCAGCGATTGAACAGCGCGGGGCTGGAATTCGACCGATTGTAGAAGTCTGGATTCGCAGGGTTCCTGGAAACGGTTTGGACTGATGCTCAACTCCTGCACTGCTGCACAGTGACCACATGACGGTTGTGCGTTTCTGCGTGTCTGCGGGTGTCGATGTGTGCAACGAAGCTGCCACAGCGAATGCCGACTTCGAGACTGATCATCCCGATGTAGCTGCACATGTTCCCGCTTGCAAGGTTCATTGCTGTTGAGTGTTTGTGAAGTCTAATGCTCTTCACATCAGCACGGGGGCCGAGAATCCGACGGAGTCTCTCACCGGGGATATTCGGCGGCTTTGCCGGCTGTTGGGCTTGTGTCTCACTTCGCGCTGCCTCATTCCATCGTGTGCGGCTCAGAAGGCCGGACCGTTCTTCATGCACATCATCAACATCACCAGCTTTCTAGGTGCTGTCATGGCCAACTCAGGCGGCCATCAGCTGGATAATAAGTGTGACAGTGTATGTGTCTGCGCATCGGCGCGATTCGCGACGGACATTTACGCACGTCTCGTAATTTTTGAAGGCAAGATCCGGGGGTCTTCACGGTAACTCTTCTTTGATCCCTACAAAGCCCTGATTTGCTCACAACCTGCTTCTAATGAGAAGGTTGGCACTGGCCCCTCGTATGACCACAAACAGAAAGGGAAGAAACTAAGTCTTCACACTGAAGCTTAGCATGGCTTAGCCGTTCCCCTCCGTAACCAAATCCCGATGTCCAGACAAAGACCTTGCCTTCAAGAAAGAACAAGGAAGTTGTGCAGACAAGATACATCGTGAAGACGATGTGCAGATTGCGCTGGACTTGCTTCGTGAAACGTGCGAATATTTCTGCATCATCGACGCCCTGGATGTTAGCGCCGCGGCATTCCTTGCCACAGGTATGCCAGAGCGAGCTACCACGAGCGTTCCAGAACTAGAAAAGGCAAAGGCTCGTGGATGAGCGCCGTGTACTCGTCGCCTTCGAAAAGTCCCGGCACTTCCCCCGATGCCAGGAGCGCGTTCATTCTCTCAATGAACGCCGGACCCAAAGCCTTGTTTCGCTTAGGATCGGCTACGATAGCTACATCTGGGGCTGCGGGTTTGAAAGGCTCTTGGACTCTTGGTGTTCTTCGTTTCCTCAGCTGCCCGCGTTGGACTCGTCAAAGATGAAGGTGATCTTCTCGCCCTTCACGCCAGCACCTTGAATTGTATACAAACACGAATGGCTCTTGTACCCAGGCCTGGGCATCAAGCTCATTTCGCTGCTGAGCTGCGCTTCATGACCACACGCACGTCAGCCTCGAAGGCGAGGACGTCGTAGTTCCGCCCGATCTTCAAGGTGTATACACTCAGCCCATTCAGCCAGGAGACAAACTTGGAGAGAACCTCGGCTAACTCTTGACCTGCAAGCCTGTGCCTGCAGTCGACACTGGTCTTTCACCCAGAATCTTCGAAACCTGGTCTGCACCGAGAGAGCTCCTAAGTAGCTCCTAAGAGACTAGGAGACCGTAGGCCCATCTTTCAGCAGGCGACCGTCTTGCCAGCACCCGATGCTCCCACGAGCAGGAGGTGCCCAAGGGGCTGCCTGCGCCACAAGATGATACTGTAGCCCTTTCGCTTCAGGTCCGCACTTTGCCGACTGTGCCTCAGGACCCGGTCCATGCGAACGATGTGGTCCAGCACAGAATCGAAGATAACCAGGCGCACCTGAGATGTAGTGCACGGCGGCACTGCCCTTGCGCGCTTGCCAAGCCTGAGGATGGCACGTCCAGCTCCTCCTCATAGAAGATGCTGAGCTTGCCCTTCCTAGGCAGGCATGCTTTTCGACGGCGAATCTGAGCTCGGTATCTACATCCAAGCCGCACGAACTCTCGCAGGTTTTCTCTTGTCTCATCGCGATAACGGTGCTGTTCATCCAGGTAACCTGGCATCGCATGAGACCTTCACACTCCTGACCTGTTTACCGTTGATGCTCAGCAGTTTAACATCACCGTGCTTACCGGTTGTCACCCTGCATCTGCTATTATGCAGCTCAACACATAGCCAAGTAGCAGCTGAATAGAATTGGACGCTGGAGCACGTCGGCGCTACAACCAAACCTTGCACAAAGCTTTAGCGCTTCGACGCAGGCACACGCGGCAATTCATGATGTCGGGGCGGCATGACAACCACCTTCCCGACTTGCAGACTTGCAGTTCAGCCACTCTCTCTGCACCACCTGAAACAGTGTAAAGAAAGGTTGTTGCCGCTACGCATCACTGCCGGCCTCGTCCAGCAGCTCCTCGCTCCTTTGTGCAGCTCGCAGCTCTCTTCAGACATGGGCGCGGGTGCTGAGATTCGGTTCAGCCGAGGATCCACTGTCGCTCCTCCTCATGCACCAGACGGTCCACAAAGATCCGCAGACCCTGCGAGGCGCGAGGTGTCACCCACCATTTGTTGACAATCTGGCATGCATACTACACGAAACTTGTGCTGGATGCTGGCCAAGCTCCTCGTGCACCAAGAGACGGATGAGATTTGTCTGAGTCATGCCATCCCAGTATCGCATGCATTCATAAAGAGCTGTCTTCCAACGAGTGAGCTCACGTGGAGAGTAGAGATAGTGGGGCTGCTGATCGGACGTGAACTTCTGCGCGCTTTCCCGCCAGAATTGCACCATCGTGTTCGTCATGCCTTCGGAGCAACTCTTGTCGAGCTGCGGTTGCAGCTTCAGCATGGCACGATTAAAGGTGCCGTAGATCTGGCGCAGGGAGTCCGGCCCGGGGTAGTCCACCCAGATCACAGGAGCGTGTCTTAGGAAGCGGTCAGACATGGGATGGCGACCCGGATCCGTCGGAGGGTTGCAAGCTCCAAGAAACTGAACGCGCTCCACGTTGACCCACTGCTTGTCACTCGGCCGATAGAAGCCCCCAGCTTCGGTGATCTGGCGGATGAACATGATCACCTTCTGCGTACCATACTTGTCCTGTTCTGGCAGGTTGCACTCATCACAGAAGACCACGACCCAGCGATTCAATTGCAGAGGGCGCATGACAAGGCCGTTAGGGGTCTTCACGGTCTCACAATAAAGGTCGAAGGTCTTCAGCAAAAGCTCGGGGGTCGTACCCGCCGAGAAGTTCAAGGACGCCAGCTCCAGACTGCCTGCCATGGCCTTCATGGTCGACATTAACGTCATTGTCTTGCCGCTGCCAGGGGGGCCGCTCAAAATGAAGGGCTTCCGCTCCTCCAGCCAAGCTGCGAGAGTGGAGGTATGTCGCACGGTGTCGACCGTCGAGATGATCAAGCTGCTGTCGGCCACTTTCTCGGGATCAATGTCCAAGGTCGGCACCCTCTTGTCCCAGTGGTACCATTGCCCATCCTCGACGCGGACCTCGAAGTCGAGCAGTGTCGTGTCGCCGCCAAGGCCGTCCGGAGCCGGAATGTCGTCCAGGTGCCCCGCCAACATCTCGCAGAACTTCATGCGTGTGTTCAGAAACCTGGCTCCCAAAACCAGGGCACCGAACTACCGTTACACGCGCACAAATCCAAGAAGCGCACCAAGCTGCTTTGAGCATGTGTGCAAGCGAGAACAAATCCAGAAGTGCCGGCCGTGTGATGCGCGGATCAAGTTCACGATCAAGTATGACACACGCAAAACAGAAGTGCGTGGACTCAGATCGTTCAGGGTTGGTTCGCTTGGCCGTACAGCGCAGTGCTATTCTGTGCATGCTTTACGACGCGATGTACAATCCTCTAGATGATTTGCCTCTGTAACTTCATCGTAGAGCACCAGGTAGCCCTGCACCTACTCATTATGGTATTGTGACGGCTAGTGGCACCCCTTCCCCAAGCCAACATCATCAACAGCTTCTTTGCTGCCCAGGATCATGTCGCCTCCAAACGACCAGCAGATAGCAAAGACCAGGTATTTGCGCATGAAGGATTGCAGTATATCATCTGCCAACGGGAACTCTTCATGAACTTCATCGTACTCCAGAATCATGTTGATGCCCTTGCGGACCATCGAAAACCTGAGCGGCTGTTGCGCGGCCGGAGGCTCCAGGCTCCAGGCGAAGCGTGAAGCGTGGGGCCGTGCCAGGGCCAAGCTGCCAAGCTGCAAGCCAGTCAAGGCTCTGATGGCAGTGAAGGTCATGATGTGATCCAGCTCAAAGGCAAGCCTCAGATCGGGATTCCTTACCTTTCTCTTTGCGGCTTCCCAAAGCCCGCCGGGCGGCTGCAGGGCGGAGAGCACGAGAGAGCCTTTCTCGAAGAGGGGCTCCAAGGCTTCGATGCATTTCACCTTCGTCCTCTGCTCCTTGGGAAGTCCTGCCGAGCCGCGAACCGTTTTGTATCCCTTGGCCCCTTGGCCCGGCAAAGAGTTCCTGCGCAGGTTCGGGGGCTTCGGGGGGCGCCTTCGTGAGCCTCCTCCTTCTTCTGGCTCTCGGACTCGAGGTTGCCATGCCTAGGAGCGCCAAAAAGGGCCCTGCAGGGCACGCCCTGCGCAGGAGTCTTAAGCGGCCAGGGCTCTTGATCGATTTCAGCTCGTGGCTGCAGAGCATCCTGGACCAGAGCCCAGGCACGAGGCACAAGGAGCACAAGACTCAGAGCATCGAAGCTCAGCCACGCGGAGCAAGCAAACCGAGGAGCTCTCGTGTGACCACGTCGTTGGCAAACCAAACCATACCACAGCGACTGACTGTGGCCAGTGTGGCATACTTCAGGGTATCCACCTCGAACATGATCCGAACATTCCTTCGCTGGAGCGCTGATGCTAAAACATCCCGGGATGCTAAAATGTATCACAACACCCAAGTCTGGCCCATGAAAGAGATTTAAACCGGAAGGGGGGAGCTCCGCGTTGAAACGCAGAGATCCTGTCCGGAGCACCGGCCAAGTAGGCCCAGAAACTAGAACTGCCCGCGCACACCCTCCTCCGACTGCCTTCGGGGCACCCCAAACCTCCCCGTTTTGACGATTACGAAAGGTTCCGTAGGCTCCCCACTCCTTGAGCTGCATACGTATGGGCAACCGAGCAACAGCTTCCGTGGTTGAAGTTGCAACAGTGCGCTGTTTTCAATACTCTCGCATCTCTCGCGTCAGGTCTTCAATGACTCTCGCAGCCTAGCCTACAACCTCCTCAAGCTGCAAGCAAGACTCGGTGGAATAGCTAGGCGCTCCCCATTCGGCAGTGTCAACAGTTTGTTGTCATCAAGCACTGAGTTCAGGTTCTCGGCCCACTCCGGATCGACGTCCTCAGCATATCGCCGGGGCTACATGATGGCAATAATGTTTCTGGCGGCATATTGGCTGGATGCCCTTACCTTCTCAAGTCTCGCGTGCTGTCGCAGTGGTATGCTTGCCAACACCATCACTTGGAGTCAAGACATGGTCTTGTCTTCCCGGAAAGGGCTTTTACTTTACAGCAAGCCTGTCCTATAATCCATCGAATCACGAAGCAAGCTGAAGGCATTGCCGCTACCTTGCCTAAGCGATTGTCTGCCGAGGGTTACATCGGTTTCTCTTATCTTTGGGTTCTCTTTGTCTGCATGCGGAACAACTCCACAAGCTGTCTTACTAGCATGGCATGCCACTGTTCCTGGTCTGTCACACCGCACACATGCTGGTAGACTTCGGAGAGTTCAAGGTACGTCAACTTCAGAAAGTGCACATGTTTTGTGCTGTTTCTATAGCGAGGCTCACCATCAAACATTATCCATTGTCGCCGCTGGTTCTCGCCACGATGTCCTGAAAGAATCCGCCGAAGAATGTCGGTAAAAACTCCATCGGTCCACTCCAGTGTCGTTGGATCCAGCTTGCCATACAATTCCTCTTTGCTGACTGCTTTGGGATCCACAACATAGGCATCTCCTTTAATGTTATCCAGTTTCTCCATAGCATCCAGAAGCGTTCGCCAAACAGTGGATTTTCCTGTGCCAACAGTGCCCACCAGCATTACACCATGAGTGATCCTTTGGATTTGGAAGAGTTCCATGCACTTCAACATGAAGTTGTCTGTGCACTCAAAGTGCCGCAGCTTGCAGAGCCTGCGAATCCTTGGCAACGTTGCAATGCTCAAGACAACATCTCGTGACCAGCCACTGAGCAAAGACACATGGGGCCACATGCCCACGCGCAGCCAAGCCAGCTAAGCTCATGGCTCATCCTGAAGGATCTGATTGTCCACGATGCCGACGTCCGCGCCAGGGAAAACACCGGAGATCAAGCTTTGCATCAGCGGCTTGTCTTGCGCCACCAGCTTTGGAACAAGCGTATCAAAAATTGCTCGCAGTAGAATCTTCTGCTCACTCTGTGACACCTGGAAACAACATGGCGATGCAGCGATGGACATGCAAAGACTGACTTGCCCTGCCTCGTCTTCTGAGAGCTCGCCGAACTTCTCGGCACCTCGCAGATGCCCAATCCGTAAAGCTTGTCACGAGGGGCGCAAGGCCGGGGCCTATGTTCGTGACCTCCTCGCGCTTCATGGAGCCCGCACATGCCAACACGGCCTGTCGGCCCGCAACCCTATCGTAGGGACCCAGAAAAGGACCTAAACAAAAACCATAAGGCTGGGATATCCCAGAATCTCCTGTTTAGTTAAGCCAAGAAGATAGGGATACCCCACCCAAAAGCTTATGTTTGGGTGCTTCTTTGGCTCCTGATATCGGATCAGAGGCACGGTGTACGACTTGCAACGTGCAACGATGCCTTCAGGGAGCGCAGTCCAAAGTCGTAGTGTGGCTGCGATGAGAGCTGATCCTTGCAGAGGTCGAAAAGGAAGACCACCTGACTTCAGACGGAGGTCCCACCAAAATTCTGCCCCTCGAGACGCCAGCACGGAAAGCCTTGCTGGCCAGCTTCTCGGCGCTGATGAAGCCTTGGTTGTAGAGGTTCACCTGTGCGATGAGAGTCTTGTTGGGCGTGGTCCTTGGAAGCGAAAGGCTGCGGAGTGTGAAGACTCAAGGCACAGAGGCACAGCACGTGCTATCACGTGCTTCAGCGAGGGCAGGGCATGGCCATGGCCCGGAAGAGCTGCTTCAGGTTGTCCGGCAGGTTGGAACGCCCGGCGTAGCCGGGATTCATCGTTACGAAGATGCCCACGTTGGAGTTCAACCGCACCTCTGCTGCACTGCTGCACTGCTGCACTGCTGCATTGCTGCATTGCTGCGCTCGGGAGCTCCGCAACTCGCAACTGCTCTGGCTTCCCGGCCTGCTTGCCGAGGATCTCGATCTCCTTTTTGTTCTGCTTGTTCCCTGTCTGTATGGTTAGAACCTGCTCAGAGACCGCCGAAAGAATCCTTTCTTCGAGTCGGTTGAACTCGTCGAAGCAGCCCCAGGCGCCCACTTGGCACAAGCCCACGAAAATTCGGCCCATGGCCTGGAAGTCGAAGCCCTCGTCACAGCAAAAGACCAAAACGAACCTTCCCATGGTGTTCCCCAGCGCCTTTACCGACTCCGTCTTACCGGTGCCCGCCGGCCCAAACGGGTTGGCACCCAGGCGCATGTGCAGTGCTTGGGTCAGTGTCAGGAAGCAGCGGTCTGTCAGTGGGGTCTGCACCAGCTTGTCGGCAATTCCCAGGTACTCAAAGCCGTAGAAAAAGCTGGCATCTGCCATGCAGATCGAAAGGCGTTGCAGAATCTGCGGCTCACTTGGGTTCCAATACATTCGCATCAGCTGCAACCACTGGAAGTCCTTTGGGGATGCCACCTTGTCCTGAATCAACTGTCGTGAGACATCTCGCTGGTGAACCACCTCGGTTATCATCTGCGCAAGCTTCTGGCGAACGTCGTTGCTGATGTTCGTGATGACCTTCCCTGCCATGAAGGACAACTGCTCGACGGCCCGCCCCAAGACTTTCTCCACGTCAGCACTGCCAGCACTGGCACTCAGCGCCACTTCAACTTTTTGACACCAATCGGCCAAAATCGCCATGAGAAGCACCTCCCAAGCGGGGCTTTGGGGGAAGACGGGAGAAGCCAAGAAAACAAGCCCGAGCAAAGCGAGCCCGCGACCTGGCAGGGGTACTTGGAGACCCAGGCCTCGGACCCATGAGGCTGCAAGGCCACATCCGCAGAGCTCTCTGAGGCTGGGACCATGGTGGCATCCTCGCTGATCTTTCCGTCTGCGGTGAAGAGAGTTCCCAGCCTCAGAACTGCTTTGACCTTCGCTCTGGGACAGATGTGACTCCAAGAACGATCTGCTGCGGGGAGGCTCATTCATCGAGGAGTTCAGGTGCTCGCCCAGGGAGCTCTGCATGTGGGCCTCTGACCGCAGAAGCAAAAGAGCGAGCAAGGAGAAGGGATCGTCCGACTCCGCTGGCCTCCGTCCTAGAAAGCCAAGCGTTGATCGACGGATCCTCGTTGATGTTCACCTTGGTTTCTGGTTGTCAGGCACCATGATGCCACCAGACCGATTGCAAGTCGTTTGGCTGCTGGCAGGCTTGATGAACTCCACGGTCTCTCCTTCGCGCGACTGCATGGCCTGCAAGGCACTGTAACACTGCCACGGTCCCAATGAAAGCACGGCTTGGATCGTGCAAGCACCCGATAAACCACATCTTTTTGGCATCTCCCTGTCCGCGTGTACGGCTTCAGAAGAGACCCATCTCCTTCTTCTTTTGGGTCCTTTTCCACCCCGGCAGTCTCTGGAACTCCTCCTGTCACGACACACACACCTTGGGTTTGGGAGCGCAGTCAGATTTGTCAGGTACCGGAAAGAAGCCCTAAAGTGTGCCATCTGCCGCTCCTTCGTGGATCCAAAGGCAGATTTAAAGTCGTCGTCGCTCAGCATCTGCTCACGGCAGCTGGCTTCCACCCCCAGCCTGTCTTGAAGAGAAGTGCAGTGAACGGTGAGATACACAGTGAATACCGTGCAGATCAGCGGCGACTTCCACACGGCTGCGTCCTTCAGCTCCTGTCAGCTCGGCTGCTCGGCTCAGAGGCTAGGCCGCAGATCGGCCGTGGCGCCTCCAAGGTCAGGAAGCGGCCTGCTCCCGCTCCCGCAGCAGGTTGGACCCTTTGGAGCGGCTGCGGCTCCGCAGAAGCGCACCAAGGATCTTCCCGGCGAAAGGCATCGCCGCCATCGCCGTAGCCGTCGACCTGTCTGCTCCCCAAGTCCTATATCTCCCTGCCGGAGCTGCCTTCTAAAGGCTCAGAAGGAGTTCAGGCCTTCTTTCCTGCACCGTCGCAGGATGCGCACACGTACCTGGAAACGGCTGAAGGGATGCCCACAATGCCAGGCCGACTCCAGCCGAGAGGTCACTTCCCTGTAACAAGGCACCAACCTTGCTCCGCAGCAGTGTCGCTGCATGCATTCGTCCATCCGCTGGCGCCTTCCAAAAGCAAAACAGCACGAAGCTCACCTCTGCCACATGCCCCACGCATCCTGCTCGGCTTTGCCGCACATGCTGCACCTGAGGCTTTGCCCAAAAAATCTCGCAAGAGACAAGAGCACTGCTCTTGGGTTCCAGCTGGAAACACTTCCAGTGGAGGACACATCCGTCCATCAGCTGCCAAGGCAGAGCCGCAGAGCCGTGGTTTCAATTTCCTTTTGAAGGCCCTCAGCCTGGAAAGCATCGTCGCCGGAACCCCGGCCACCACAAGGACCACCACAAGCCGCACAAGGTTTGCTTCCAGCTGTGCCTTCCAACAGGTTAGAGGTTGCTGCCCTCGCGAGGCCCGCACGGCAGCAGCGTGGACTACAGTCCACAGTGGCCCCAAACTCACTGTAAGATCCGCTACTTTGGCGCGAGCTTTGTAAATCACGCTCCTGCAACAGTGCTGTGTAGATGTTGGTGCGTTTCGGGGAGACGGTGGTCCCACCTGGCTCAGGCTTCAAATCGCCCGCCGTCTTAAACTGCCTGATAGATAGTTACATGTAAACTCGGTTACATGGGCAACTTCTTAGACGGACTTTGCGTATCTAACGCAAGGCTGAATGGGACCATACTATTCGGCTCATGGGTGCTTCTTCGCAAGTGTTTTGTCAATTTTTCGAAGGATCGCTCTCGTGCTCCCGCCATATTATATAATCGCACGTGTATTCTGTCGTGCGGCTGGCCTTTGCCACAGTCCTGTGCGTGTGTGAGAGAGAGACCGGTCCTCGGTCATGGACTTAAGGAGCTCCCTCTCCAATTCTGGTCTTGCGGCAAGGGATGCAGCACATCATTGGGACGCCTGTCACCGGCAAGTTCCTTTTAACATCCGAGTTCACCTTCGACTGCGTGGTCACAAAAAGGATCTCCAGGTGTTCGTTGCACTTGCAGATACACACACACACACACACACACACACACACACACACACACACACACACACACACACACACACGGGCCACGCGAGGGTGTGCTGTGTCAGAGCTGTCATGGACAATAGTCATCAGCCCGAACCAGAATCACAACCACTGAAGCCTCTGAATGAATACACGCTTGCAGAAAGCAGATGAAAGCAGCACGGGAGCAAAGTGCTCCTTCACAACGCCGACTAAGTCCGAGAGTTGTGCCCCTTGGCTGCACCACGCCACTGGCACGGTGCTTCTGTGCGTGGCGGCGGGGCCTCTGGTACGATACTGGCTGCTTCCTCAGCTTCCCAACTTGATTCAGTCGTCTCCTGGTGTCTCCTCTGTCCTGCGTTGCTTGAGCCAACTTTTCCACCCTTCAAGGTCTGTTAAGCAAGCGACCCTTGTGTTTCGCCTGTGAGCCATGAAAACCTACAGGAGTGAAAGGTTGTACCTCTGCGCTCATTCTGACATCTTGTGCATCAGAGTAAGCAATGAGTACAGTTGGCTGCTTGCGAACCTGGCCAATCACCAGAAACTGCTGGCGCTGTATCTACGAAGCCATTGTGACCGCCACCGGACTGACCTGTTGTCACGTGCAGCCAACAGAATTGCGGGCAGCTTGTGAATGCTATCTATCGCAGGAACAAGCGGCGTGGCATGTGCAAGGCAAAGTGTTCTTGCGGCTGTCGATTCGTTCCTGTTGGGAGCTAATTATCTGAAACAAGTGAGAGCGACCCGGATTCGTGTCTGTGCCAGGTTTTCGGAGGTGTCGTGCAAATCACACCAGTATCGGTGACGTCTCGCTGTCACCGTCGCGAAGTGCGGCGATTCGTGCTGGGACACGTGGCAGGACTCGGATCCATGGACAAAGAAACCCAACCCCTTGACAAGTGCCGTGAGTGCAGGCCAGTCAGCCTCCTTCTGGAGCTTCTTTGGCTTCCAATTTGTCAGCACAGGGCTCACAATAATAGGGACACTCCTCTCAGGGGCCGAGTGTGCTTCAGAGGCGACCACACTTCAGATGTCCTGGAATTGGTACTTGCGGGCTTGCAGAATGACGTAGGAAGTAAGTGCTTCCCCACATTCTGCACAAACAAAGCACTTTTCGTGAAACCTGGAAAGTGCCATCGTGGTTCCAGGATGAAGCACATAAAGCGCACGTGAAAGAAGCGAAGCGCCCTCGCCATCGCGTGTCTCCCGGCGCCTGTCCCTCTTGTCGGCCAGAATGCTCGGCTCCTCCTCTCAAGAGCCGGGCAGCAACGTCACAGAGAGGAGTCCCGCCCCGCGGCGCCTCCCTGACGGCTTTTCGGCACCTTCGAGACAATGCAAGATCCCCGAGCCCAGCTTTCGAGCTTTCGACGGTCTGAGTCGGTCGCCCACGGCAGGTCGGGAGCTCCTCAGCCTCTGCCTCTGCCGCTCTGGCTGCCGCTCCTGGTAACGATTTCGGAAGACTTCTTAAGCTCTGCCCACAGCCGCTGCCACAGCCTGCTGCTGGCTGCTGGCAACCATGGCACCTGCGCCGACTGGCGACAGAACCCAAGGCGAGGGGTCGCAGCCTTGAAGCCTACCTCAGCTCTCCGTTTACGCGAAAGAAGGAGCTGGCGATCGCTTCTCCACACCTGACACACCTGATACGATGCTGCGTTAAGCATTGCCACGCACAGCCAGTGCCACTGCAGGGACTGCACGGCCTGAAGCATTCGGGGTGCCAGGTCTTGCCTTCTGCTCGCGTCTCCTCTCCGCTCCCAACCCAACGACGCACACAGGCTGCCGCAGGCTACCACAAACTGTGCTGCCATGCTGACACTACAAGGCATCCCTCCTTCCCATCGATCCTTTTATGACAAGCCTGCAAACGTGCTCCGAGGAGTCGTGAAGAAGCGCAGAACATGGCAGCACGGAAAGCTCCAGCCTCACAGTAGGAGCTTGGCGTGCAGCCCTAGCACGGGACAACAGCGTCGGGCAAGCACCGGTCGCACTTATGCCCTCTCCTCGCACAATCGCTGACCATCTTTTCGATTAAATCGCCCAGAGAGCGGGACCTTACACCTTGCAGGGGGGAGCTCGCGGGGCCAGGGGCTCATACGCACATGCCCAGCGTTTTTCATATCCGCAAAGGGTCTGCCCCGTTTCGCGGGAGGGTTTGGGCTCTACGATGTAGGATGGTGCGACTGTTAAGGCTTTGCAGTTTAGGGTTTGCCGTTTAGGCTTCACGGTTCAGGGTTTTAGGGTCTAGGCATAGGGCTTATAGGGCTTAAGGTTTTCAATCATAGTTCTTTTTGCTTGGGATCTCGGGTTTAGGGTTCAGGGCGATTTAGGCTTCGCGGTTTAGGGTTTACGGTTCCGGGTTTAGGGTTGCGGAATTCAGGCCTGTGTATCCAGAAAGCACATGCGTGTATGAACCAGGCTACGTGTACATATCTACCGCCGGCTCGCAGACCCGAAAGTTCGAAGACCCATGGCTCTCACGGCAGATTGGCGGGCCCACAACATCCCACGCCTGTCACAACAGAAGCAGTCGGGGTGGTAGCAGCCGCCTTCGACGGAAACGCCCTGAGACCAGAGCACTGGAAATCACGACCCTCCGGCAAAAAAACTTGGCAAATGCCACACGCCTTGCCCACGATTTCCTTCCCGCACTTCGCGCATTTCGGCCGCTCGCTCATGGCGATGAGGCTGACGCGAGCTTTGTGTGTAAAGACTGAGCAGCGGTTCTACAGTCTGGCTGCGAGCTTGCATGCCAATGTCGTGAAGGTCTTGAGCAGAAGAGGCTGCAGGGAGCATGGAGCTCTTTGCAGGTGACTCCTTGACTGCAAGGCCGGAAGTTGGAATGCCTTGACGAGCTCGGGGCTGCTTGGATCGGTGCTGAGCTGCGACAGCCCAGCAAACATCTTCGCCTGAGGGTGGAGTTGGGTGATAACTTCTTCCTCCTCAACATCCAGGAGCCGCGCAAGATGGCGGCTTACAGCTGCAACATCCTTCGAGTTGCCGATCATTTCAAGAAGGTCCTCTGCGAAAACATGTGCAAGAGCTCGTGAGGCTGTGACACATCGGCATGCTTCTAGCCACAAGCATGGCGTGATATGACATAGTACTCGTACATCATGGTACCTGGGTCCCAAACATCACCAGAAAGGTCAAGATTGTAGCCAAAGCATTCAGGTAGACCGTGTTGCCTGGTGGTTAAGCCACAACAGAGACAACAGCCACTCAGTTACTTCCTTGGTCCTTCTCATGCTCAGAGAAAACTCTTCGTTTCCAACCCTTCCCTACAGCCCCTGAACTACGTCCTCTTTTCTACCAGAAAACCTCTTGACAAGAATTTCCTGGTCGGTTTGCCTTGTGCCCGCCGATAACATCAGCGACACAAGAGCCCAGACCGTCCAAATGAACAGCCCGTCCTCATCTCCGACGAAGTAGAAGCGTGCAAACTGCGAGCGCTGCTTCTCCAGGTAGTCGCCTGTCCAGCCGAATCGGGAGGGCAAGCAGTGCTTCAGGATGTGCAGCTGTGTGACGATACCTTGCCTAAGGCTTTCTGGACAGCCGTCAGCATGTCCGACAAGCGGTCCAACTGCTTCTGGACCCCCTCAATTCCGACGGCCTGGCAGATGTGACGCGTCCTCTTCTGCGACGCTTCGCCGCTTCACACTTCGTTTTGCCGATCCAAAGTCATCTCGTCTCTGTGCCCTCGGAAACGCGGACGCCGCTAAGAACACAGGGCAGGTCGTATCTGGAAAGACATTTTTCCGAAGGTTGAAGAACAGGAGAAGCACCACAGCAGGGTTTGAGAGCAGCAAGCCTACACGTTTGCCGTGGAGGCGTTCGTCGTAGTAGAAGCATGAGTATCAGTGGTCGTTATAGCAGTCGTGGTCGTCGAGACGTTCGACTTAGTGAGAGTAGCAGTGGTGGCAAACGGCACCTTACTCGATGCAATGATACTGCAGCCAATGATCTGATGCGTAGTCTCGAGAATAGTCTGAGCATAATATAAGATGATTGTCTATCAAGGAGACCACTAAATTGCACTGGGACCGACGGTCACAAGATCAGCGTAACATAGCCACAGTGTCGGAATCAACCCCTCTCAGCCTTTCTACGACCTGGTTGGAAGTGACTGGAAGATAGCAGCAGGAAGAATTTCGATTCCACACGGCAAAGTTGTGGTGATCGTATTTAGCCATGCTGCCCTGCTCGGTCGACTCGGTCTTCTCTTGTGCCGAAGATCAGCTCCAAGCTCCACAAGGCACTGAGAAAGTCTAGACCCCCCCTCAAAAAAGAAACAACCGCTCCGGTGCTCGCCGAAAACGAGCGGCGCCTCCAGGACCTGTCATCAGATCGCACGCAGTTGCGACTGGAAGCCGAAGGATCGCCCTCAAACAGGGCCCAGGGCCTTGGGCTTGGCCGCCACCTTCTTCATCAGACCAACAAACTCGGAGTCAATGGTCTTGAAGCCTCGATTTCGTCGAGCTGAGCACTGTAGGAAGCTGGATGATGCTGGGTTGCCGGCGGGCAAACTCGTTGGGGAGCAGCTGCTGGATGTCTGCGCTGCTGCCGAAGATACCCTCCAAGTAGACCCACCGTCTTTGCACATCCATCCACAAGTCAAAGACGATGCGAATCTTGTTCAGCCTGTCCTCATGGCATCCGGGGTTCAAGTTGGGTTTTGCTTCGGTTCTCTCCGAGCTCCCGACATCCCAAGTGGCGCCTTCATCTTCGAAGGACTTGTAGTACGGAGACATCTTCATCGACTGAATGCTCCTCCAGGAGGCACGCAGAGCCAAAGACAAGAATAATCCTTGAGAAACGGTCTAAAGGCCCCATGTCGAGGTGCTGGAGGTGCTCATCCAGCTGGCTAAACAGGTCATCCTCAGAATAGATGTATTTGCACACTGCTTATTTGGAGATTTCACAGCGGATCGTGACGATCCGCTGCTTAGGGCAAGACCCACGAACGGATCAGCCGGCACTTGCTCTTGTAGGGCACGAGTTCCAAACTGTAGACAGGCTGTTCATGCACCGTCTTGGCTGAGGGGTCATCTCAGCTCTTTGCAACACAACTTCCAATCTGGGGTCGATACTCGTAATTGCTCCATTTTTCTCGAACCTTTGCACAACTGTCGAAGCCCTAGGATAGATCCTGCAAACCAGGACCAAGCCTCTGCCAGGAACTGTTCCAGACCCATTTCGCCCTGTGCTCTGGCGAGCATCTCTTTGATGGCTGGCTGGTGCTTCTCCAGGTTCGAGTCCCAGAGATGGCCCAGCCTCTCAACATGAAAGGGCTGCCTGCCTCTGCGAATTGTGCTTCGTGGTGCACTTAGCATGCGGCGTCAGCTCATTGAAGCCAACTGAAAGCTTTAGCATCTGGACCTGCGCAGGGGACGTCAGCGCATTCAAAGCGGCCTGGGCTTGGTTGCAGTAGCCAAGTGGCGATTTGCTTCCAGTGACGCTCCTTGAGCGCATCCGTCTTCAGCTCTGCCACAACCTCGAAGTCAAGACGGACCGAAGTCTCGTACCCGATGCACAATGCTCGGCGCCTGGTTCAGCTTTATTTGAGCCTGAAGTTGCTCCTGGATGTGGTCGAACGCCTTTGAGAATGAAGCATGGAGGGACGGAGAGCTTTCCAACTTTCCCGATTCCCCCAGCACAGACTTCAGCTCGAAGATTGTGAATTCTCGACTCTTCATCTGGCATCTGACCTCGTACTGCTGCAACCGCCGGTCCATCTGCTTCATGTTCGAAAGCAGGTCCTGCAAGTGGAAGCAGCAGAAGTCCGAGTTGCGCAAGCGATTCGTCGCAACCTCCAGTGCATGCTTGATGCGCTTGGGCTCCACTGCAGTCCACAAAGTCTCCTGCATTGCGGGCCACTGCGTGACATGCCATGGGCTGTGCGTCGTGCAGCCTTCAACGTTTCCACTCGGCTGTGCACCGTATTGATCTCGGACCTAGCCAAACATGTCAAGGTACAGGTCAGCCTGGCTTGGCCTTTGCCGGCTGCGATGAACCGGGACGGTTGCCATACATCCTTCAAGTTTCCCATTTCCTCGCAGGTGCAATGGCCTCCAGCTCGATGACTAGGGCACGTGTCGCTGCGTCGGTCCTCCTGCAACGGCGCCAACGCCTCCACGTCACCCACCTGAAGAGTTTCACGTCAACTAACTGCACAGCACCTGGAATCGATTCAGCAAGCCTCCATCTGCAAGGACTTTTTCAGTTGCACGAGCTGGCTGTGCTGTTCCCGGAGCATCAAGAGGCGCTCCTAGCAGTGCAGGGAGGAGCTGAGGTTTTAGAGTTCTGAAGAAATCCGTATCTGAGACTCCGGCATCGAAGTCCTTAATCGCTTGCATGGCAGCGGTCGGCTTTAAGCCACCCTGGACCGGTTTCTGGCTGGACCTGGAAACACGAAATCTCGACAAGCTATCAGCGGTCTCCTCTTTGACACATGCCGGCGAAGCCATTCTGCATAAAGCTGAGTGATGCTTTCCTCCAGCTGCTTGTCTTTCTGGACCAACACCGATCGAAGCTTCGGTAGCTCATGATCAAGTATCTGTGACAGACATGTTTGCAGATGGACCAGCTAATGTTGCACCGAGTGTGGTGCCCGGTTGCGTCGGGTCAGGATTTGCTCGAATGCCTGACCCAGTTTTTCCGCGCTCTGCACTTGTAGTTGTGGAGACACCGAATCGGCCTCCCACTCACCCTGCACTTGCTCGATGTGCATCCAATCCTGAGGTCAAACCAGACATCAGCTGGCTGGAGGCGAAATAGCTTCCTCATGCTTCTGCCAGAGTCCCCAGCCTCCGGAAACTGGAACCGCTGCTTCACAAGCAGCTTCTGTGCCTCCAAGGGATCGGGGTCATCACAGGAATCCACCCGGAATCCCCATCACCTCGGCTGGGGCCTTCTGCAGCTCTTCAAACTCTGGGCTCCATTTCTCGGCGCTGGTTTTCACCTTGCTTCGTATGCCCCTGCTCTCGCTCTCCGTCCCTCGTCACCCTCGTCCTGTCCTTCAGCACTGCCATGCAGACCACCTGCAACGAGGAAAGAGAAGACAGAAGCCGACAGAAGCCCACGGCATGGACGCAGAAAAAAGGCCCGGCCGTGAGGTCGCCGCTGCCATCGACGGCTTCCAGCCGCTCCCTGCCCTCAGAAGAGAAGGGTCGTCAGGTCCCGTCAGGTCCCATTGTGACGCGTTCTGTCTTCTGTGTCAGCGCCTGGTTGACCTGACGGAAGAACTCGCTCATGGCCTCCCTGACCTGAGGCGACCCTCCGCAGAAAGCATGCTCCGCACCTCCCCCATGCGGCCTTCTCCCCGAAGGAATTCAGAAGGTCGCGGTGCCACTGGTCGTACTTGGCCTTGACCCTGGACTGGACCTCTCAGCGCAGTGTGAATTTGCAGCTTCATTAGAGGTGCACTGAGCCTTGCTGTAGTCCACCACAATGGGGCCAAAGTACTTCTCCTCGGTTTGCATGCACACTCTGAGGTCCGAACATAGAGTGCCGGTCACGGAGGTGCCTGCTCGGAGCCTTCGAAGCGAGAGCTCAGGTACTGGATCTCGGTCAGCATGCCTCGATCGGGCGGACGCCGCTTCGGACTCGGAACGTGGCTCGGACCAGCTCTCCGAGCATCCTGCTGTGCCACCGGCTGAGATCATCCTATGGCTCAGGCACAGGACTTGCCGTGCCCGTCCGCCCGTCTGAGGCGTCTGAGGCGCAGGCGCCGAGCCGCGAGAGGACCTCGCCAACACGGTCTCTCAAGCACAAGCCCTGCTCGGCCCTGCAAGGGCAGCGCTGCACTGGTGTTGATCTCCCAAAGCGACTGGTACTGCATCCAGCTCGAAACATACTCCTGGACATGAACCCTTGCTTGCACACAGCCAAGGAGGAGCAGCACCCCTGCTCGCTCTCTCTCTCTCTCTCTCTCTCTCTCTCTCTCTCTCTCTCTCTCTCTTTCTCTCCCTTTCTCTCTCCCTCTCTTTGCTTTGCTTTGCTCAGCGGCGTAGGAGACAGGCAGTCCCTGCCTCCCGCTTTCTTTCTTTCTGCCGGGCTTAGGGGTCGGTTGGCCGACCCTCAGGCATTGCGCCCGCCCGTCCCTCACATTGTACTAGTGAGTTGACGGCTTCTGGGGTCTCAAAGCAACGGAAAAAACGGCAAGGGATGTTCCAGGTGTCACTCCGAGAGCACCGACCCTCCCTTTACACTAGGGACCCCCAACGCGCCTCGTCCCCGCGCCCCTATGGCACTCATCAGGGCTCTCAGCGGGATCTGGTCGGAACGTCCCCCATGCAGCTGTTCTGGGCTGCGAAAAAGTGCAAAGTGCCGGTGGACTCTCTCTCTCTCTCTCTCTCTCTCTCTCTCTCTCTCTCTCTCTCTCTCTCGGCTTGCTCGAGAAGTCCGCAAGGTCCAAGGACCGGCCTGCATGTCCTCCACAGTGCTGCTGACCTCTGCTGAGCAAGCCCACTTCGTTTTGCACACGGCGCAGTAATGTAAACGACCAGGCCAAGAAGCATGATCGTAGACCTCGATAAGGGTCTTCTGATCCAACAGTGCCTGAGAGTCCATAATATGAAAACTCACATGACTTCAAAGACAGGAGCGGCTTGGAGCTGCACGATGAGACCCTTGTGCGTTGCAGCAAACTCCTTCGCCCCGCGCCTGAGGCAGGGAATGTAGGGAGCGGCTATGCTGCGGCAGTGCTTTTTGCGGCTTAAGGCTCCAACTTAAGAGCATCAAAGCGGGCTGCTTGGAGCAGAGGCAGGTTGCACACCATCCCCAAACCTGCCGCGAGCAGGCATGGCGGCATGGCTTTGCCTGTGGTCCGAGCAGTCGCTCATGAAGCTGAGCGCTCTGCAGTCGTGGTAGTGCTTCACCCAGTGCGTCATTGCAAACTCCTTCTGAGGCTCCAGCACCTTCGACGCATGAAGGGAGACGTGAAGGGACGCTTGTGCCCGCGAGAACTTCGAGGAGCTGGCCAAGCGTACTCCCGAGGGGGATGTCCTCAGGCCAAATCGGAGTGGAGGACTCAGGCGAAAACCAGGCTAGACTCGGGAAGAGACTCGGCTAGACTCGGACAGGCAGACTATCCGGTGCTGAGCAACAAAAGAAGATATTGATTCAAGCAGCTGCATGTGAAGCTCCAGCACTGCAAGTTGGACCGCGGCTTCCTGCCAAACGAACATCATGCCGTCACGACATTCTGGAAAAAGATGTGCTTTGTAGCACAGCTAGGTACACACCAATACGACAGATATGCAGTCCCACTGGTGCTTAAACCCTGCATGCTCTCAGATGGCCTGTCAATTCTGAGACACTTCTGCTACTGTGAGATGACCGTGGGAAACACACTGTGAACTCCATCGAGCTGCATCCGGCGATGCCGACCTTCCACCAGCATCTGGGCACCAATGAGATTTGCAGCAGGCCTGAATCAAGTTGTTGCCGTTCAATGGCCTTGGTGGTCTCAATGGGAATTCAGTGTGTTTCGCGGGTCGTTTGATCGTTTAAGGAGTTTGAGGCTTAAGCGCCAGACCATCTCTTGAATTCCTGCAGCCACTGAGCGCTAGTCGCCGCCAGGAGCTTAACCAGCCTCCACAACGAAAGGCTCTTTTGCTCCCGCGGCTGCCAGCCCGGCCTGCTCCCAGCCTGCCCCGGCCCGGCCTCTGTTCGATCTGCTTGTTCAGGCCTTGCACCCAAGCGTCCATGTTGGAGAAGCTCGCCAAGTTCATGTCCTTCCAGGCTACTTGCTTCGGAGACCACGGGTTGAAGGGGGATTCGGCACAATCAGCATCGGTCATCAACAGTCTTCTGCATTTTCTCGAACTTGGCCAAGAGCATCTCTTGAGCACTGGTTTCTTGCCTTCGTGCAGGGGCTCACCATGCCACCCAAGGTTCGCACAGAACAAAGGGTCATTGCGACTTCCATCTTTGCCTCACATTCACGTCGTCCAAGCTCTCAATAGTGCGGGACATCTGCTCGGCCATCGACTCAAGCTCAGTGAACCTGGCGTCTGCTCCGAAGGTTTCATGAATCTGAATTCCAGAACTTAAGCACTTGAGTCCACAGCTTCTGTTGAAACTGGAAGACAGTCTCAGAAAGCTTTTGGGTGTAGCTCTCGATCCTCAGCCCAACTCCCGTGCAAGCTGCAGGCTGCGCTAGGCCGCCAGGCAGGCGAGCGTCTTCTGGTCATCCCACTTCAGATGTAGTCCGTCGGCTATCAAGTCCTTCAGCCAACCCGCTGCAAGTCATGGCCGGGCGCAGCTCTCGATCTCCTGCACGCCCTTCTGAAACGAGGCCATCAATGGTTGATGGTCCTGAGCTTCGGAACAAAACTTGTAGTGCCCCTTCCAATGACGGGTCACAAAGGGCGGGGCGGCTTTGATCTGCGCGCACGTCTGCATGTACGTCCGTGCGGCCTGGACGACCATGCTGGTAGCAAGATGCAGAAGTTTCTACGTTTACTCCCCTCCACCAACCTCTTGCAATGTCATAGCAAAGGGATAGTTCTGCTTGGCTTCGTCAGAATTCACCTGTGAAGTTCGGCAGGACTTGGAACGGTCGTGCCAGTATGTGTGGTACGTGACTGGCCTTGATCGCATAGGGGACACGGTAATCGCCCAGAGCCTGCAAATTCCGCACCTGAGAAAATCAGGAACAGTAACTTTTCTACATAAGCACTGCATGCTCCTACACTACTATGATGATAGATTTTTTTGGTGCCACTGGACCACCTATTTCAAGAGAAGCAGACGCTACATGTCGAGATGTCGACACACTCCGCAGCGCCGCCTCCTTGAAGAGCGTGATGATCTGCTCATCGAAGTTGACCAATAGCAGGTAGGTCCTTTGCATGGCACAGCTTGCAACCCACCCGGCCAGCCCGCAGATCAACGGACTGCTGAGTGCAGAACTGATAGCCCTGCTGGATGTCGAAGATTCGCATGCTCACATCAAATTTCTTGGAGTCCTCTCACACGTGAGTCTGTCAGGCTCACGGACGACTCGGCATACGGCAAAGACGAGGATCACGAGGTGACATGAACTGGAGCCTTTGTATCAGCCAGCCATTCATCAAATATGTGGCTCGTCTTCATCCTGGACCAAAGGCACTTGGCAAACTTCTCTAAAGTATGATATCACGCCCTACCCGCCCTTATACCCATCAGATCCGAGCGTCTTTCTGGCGAAAGCGTCGCCCTCCTGCTTCAGGTTCTTCCCATCCACATGGTTTTCCCATCCTTTGCCAAGTACATCCTCCAGGACAGTAGTAGAACTTCGGAATTCGATGATTGGCAGACGGCTGTCGAAACTCGAGACATCACTGCACCATCGAAAACACACGTCACATCTATATCGACAGAAGATACTTGCAACTCATCCAGTCCCCAACCCCACAGCATGTGAACCATTCCTCGACACGGCTCATGTAGATGGCCAGGCGACGCTCGAGCTGCCTTCAACAAGAAGGGGCCCAAACCATGCTGTGAGGAAACGACGCTCTCCGGCCTGGCCCAAACGATGAGCCCGGCCGTTGGGGGCAATCCACGGATCGCCGTGAGCTTGCAAGCCTCCGGAAAGCGACCGCTCTCTCTGCAGCTCTCGCTCTCTGCAGCGAGGGGCGGAGTTAGGGGCCTGGGTGCCCTCATAAGTCTCCTTGAACTTCTCCTGCAGGCGATGCACGTCCTCCTTCACCTGCATGGTCTAGCCGCTAGCCGCTAGCCAACAAGCACGATACATCCGATACAACCAGCACTCAGCACTTCAGGGAGACTCTCTCAGTCTCAGGCCTGTTGGATCAAAGAAGACTGGTACTCCTGCGGAGCATGCGAAAAATAGTCTGAAACATGGTCGCATGCACAAGCTGCACCTGAATGGCCCTTCGAATCCGGGGACGAACAAAGAGCGCATTGAACCGGCTGAAGACGCGGAACATTTCCTGAGACACCACAGACGAGTTTCGGGTGATCAGATTGGCCGTTCTGTCAGCGGGCCGTCGCAGTCTTGGCAGCCCCAAGCTTGTCGCGAAGCCTGAACAGCTCGACGCTACGAGGAGATCTGTCAGGAAGAAGCAAGCCTTGCAGTGATCTCACTTTCTGCATGGTCGATACCTTGGCACTCAGGAGCGGCTCCCAAATAGTGCATCCTGAACCGGCCGTAGGTAGGGCCACCACGCTCGTCGTAGCGACGCTGAGTGCTCTCCCATTCCTGCACGTGACTCTGCAAGCCGACATCCTCGCAACCGCGACGGTGTCCTGCTGACCCCTGCGGCTCACATCCAGGACATCCACCTCGAAGCAACTCTGAAATCTGAGACGAGGTCGCCACACACGCCGCACCTGCTCGACAAGCTGGTAGGCGGCTGCAACTTCTGCCTGCGCCCAGGACACCGCTGAACTACGGTCCAAGCGCAGTTCAAGAACTCGGCCTGCCTTTGCACCGGTCTCCTTGCCGTCCACGAGCACCCGCTCGATGATTTCTTGAAGCTTCATGTGATGCCTCCACAAAGCGTGGGAGGGCCCCGCGTCCGCGCCCGGGCCCGTGTCGCCCTTAACGGCGCGGCCCCCTCCGAATCTCTCCGAAGCCTCCGGAACTTCTGGAGCTCCTCGATACGCGCCTCTAGGAGCTACCGCGACCACATGCGTCACAGCTGTGCACAGCGTCACATCGAGCTCCGGAGCTCCAGCCTGGAGCTGCTCGTGCTCACCTCTGACAACGGCACGGCACGGCAGAGGTGTCTCCGCTTCCACACGCACTCAGCAGTTGCCCTCAGTTCGGTGTTTTTGCTGGCAAGATGCAGTTGATCTTCACTGTCGGCCGCTCGTTGCCACCTTGGAGAAGCAGTTGCCCAGGCTCCTTGTGTGAGCCGAGCTCGCCGAGGCAACCGCGCTTTTTCAGCTGCTCCCTGACCAGCTGCCGAAATTGCCCCACCTTTTTTGCTTCTGAGACAAGCTCAACTCGGTGTGTGGCCTTCCAAAGCCTCATCCTTCCAGACACGGAAGAGCTCTTGGCAGTTGGACATGTTCTGGCTGAACATCTCTGCATCCTGCCAGACGCATGCGTCGGACATAATCTTGCGGCTCGCGCTCGCATCTCTGCAGCCAATGTTCGGAATAGGCCACTATTCTGACCTCTGCACAGCCTGCCGCCGAAAGCAAGCCCCTTGAACATTCACTTTGCCAGGTTGTTGGCAGGCCTCAGGGCCAACGGGGCCAACGCGGTCAAGGGGGCCAAGGGGGCCAAGGGGGCCAACCCAAGGGGGCCAAGGAGGCCAAAAGGGCGATTGGTAATGGCTTCGAGGCACATTACCAGCATTCTTTTCGCAAGTTCTGACATGACGGATGCAGTCTGGTCCTCCAAAGGCCTCTGCGGGGTTGGGCCGGGTCACAGTGGGGAAGGAAACCCAATTTCACATGAAAGTGCCGTTGGAGAGGCCCTTGCCCTCTGCACTGCATGTCGCAAGCCTATGCCCGTCGCATCGGACTGCTTGCAACTTCAATGGGCCTTGACATGGTGGGGGGGGGGGGGGGGGGCCGGCTTAAATAGGGTCTATTTGGCAGCTGGATGGCTGTGTTTTTGCATACAAGTAGTGCTTATTCTCATCACCACCGACCACGCCATGACACAGGTGACGTAGGCACAGACTCCATGCGTGCATAATTGATCGTTGAAAATGTCTGCACTCTCGTGGCGCCTAGCTGCGTATTACACTGCGACATACAAGCGGCGGCCACTTGCGCCCAAGGTTCGTGTTAATGTAATGTTTAACCAAACAGAATGTCCACGACTCCCTTGGAATGTAGACAGACGGCTCAAGAAAGGGTGGAGATTCCCGCACCTCTCAACGAAAACACGGAGAAAGTCCCTCCAAGTCATTCAGCTGATTTCTAGCAGCGAGCTCCTCTACCTCTTGGTAAGTCTCCATCTCCTCTGACGATACATGAAGGGAGCTCGCTGCTTCGTCATCCCCCAAGAGATGAGCTTCTTTTCCCCAAAAGGGTAAGGAAGAGATCCCTTGGCACATCCTCTACCGCAGCATCTCAAAGGAGCAGAGAACCCTTCCAACTTCACGCGAAAAAAAGAACTCCGGCTGCCTCTCAGTCGACAAGAAGAGAGAGGAGCTCCTTGTCGTCTCCTCTTCCTCTTCAAGGGATAGAAGAAAGATAGTTTCAAGAAGTGAGGACTGAGCTGTCTCAATCTTCAAAAGAAGAGTCTGATCCTCCCCTAAGCCTTCAACAAGACATGAGCAGCCCTCTACCCCATCCTCTGAATTAGCTTCCAAAAAACTCCTGTGCCTCATCCTCGACAAGAAAAGACTGAGAGCAATCGCAAGAAGAGACCTCCGTTCTTTCCTGATAAGGGGAGGGGATCCTGATTATTTCCGTCGCCGTTTTAAAAACGGAAGAGAGCATACACTCAAGAAGAAAGGGTGGAGCTCCCCCCAACTCAAGAAGAAAGAGTGGAGCTCCCCCTAATTTTCAAATAAAGACATCTGGTCGTCCCTCAGCCTTCAAAAGGAAATGACCTCATGCTCCAAAACAAGAAGAGAGTCCCCAGGATATTCGTGGCAACAGAAGAGAGCATCCTTCTAGCAGAGAGCCTTTTTACCTCTTGGTATGTCGCCTTTTCGTCTTAAGAAGATTGAAGAGACCTCGCTCCTAGCAACAAAGACAGAGCTCCCCTAGCTTCCAAAAAGAAAGATTTTCTACCTCATCCTCCACAAGAAATCACTGAGAGCTTCCTCCCATGTAATGAGACGCAAGAGAGCTTCATCCCAGCCCAGCAGACAGGCCCCTCCAACTTCACGAGAATGCAAAGGTCTCCGTTTACCCATCGGTCGAAAAGAAGATAACTCCTTTCTCTCTTCATAAGGGGTTGGATCTTGAGGATTTCTTTTACCTTTTCAAAAGATGGAAAACAGCATACGCACAAGAAGAAGAAACCTCCTTTCTCTCTTGGCAGTGGAAAGAGATCCTGATTACTTCCCGTACGTTTTCAAAAGATGGAAAACAGCATGCGCTCAAGAAGAAAGGGCGGAGCTTCCCCCACCCCTCAACGAAAACACGGAGAGAGTCCCTCCAAGTCATTCAGCTGATTTCTAGCAGCGAGCTCCTCTCTCGCTTGGTAGGTCTCCATCTCCTCTGAAGAGAATTGAAAGGAGCTCGCTTCTAGTCGAAGAAGACAAGGCTCAACGCATCTCCAGTTTCAATAAGAACTGCGGCTGCCTCTTAGTCGACAAGAAGAGAGAGGAGCTCCTTGTCGTCCCCTCTTCCTCTTCAAGGGATAGAAGAGGGATAGCTTTCAAGAAGTGAGGACAGAGCTCGCTCAATTTTCAAAAGAAGAATCTGATCCTCCCCTCATCCTTCAACAAGACATGAGCAGCCCTCTATCCCATGCTCTGAATTAGCTTCCAAAAAGACAAATCCTCTGCCTCATCCTCGACAAGAAGAGACTGAGAGCTTCCTCCAAACTAATGGGACAAAAGAAAGCGCCATCTCAACAAAGCAAACAGGCCGCTCCAACTTCGCACCGTTTACCCTTCGGCAAGAAGAGACCTCCTTTCTTTCCTGATAAGGGGAGGGGATCCTGATTATTTCCGTCGCCGTTTTAAAAATGGAAGAGAGCATACACTCAAGAAGAAAGGGTGGAGCTCCCCCAACTCAAGAAGAAAGGGTGGAGCTCCCCCCAATTTTCAAATAGAGACATCTGGTCGTCCCTCAGCCTTCAAAAGGAAATGACCTCATGCTCCAAAACAAGAAGAGAGCCCCCAGGATATTCGTGGCAACAGAAGAGAGCATCCTTCTAGCAGAGAGCCTTGTTACCTCTTGGTATGTCGCCAATTCGTTTTAAGAAGATTGAAGAGACCTCGCTCCTAGCAAGAAAGGACAGAGCTCCCCTAGCTTCCAAAACGAAAGATTTTCTACCCCATCCTCCACAAGAAATCACTGAGAGCTTCCTCCCATGTAATGAGACGCAAGAGAGCATCATCTCAGCCCAGCAGACAGGCCCCTCCAACTTCACGAGAATGCAAAGGTCTCCGTTTACCCATCGGTCGAAAAGAAGATAACTCCTTTCTCTCTTCATAAGGGGTTGGATCTTGAGCATTTCTTTTACCTTTTCAAAAGATGGAAAACAGCATACGCACAAGAAGAAGAAACCTCCTTTCTCTCTTGGCAGTGGAAAGAGATCCTGATTAAATCCCTTACGTTTTCAAAAAATGGAAAACAGCATGCGCTCAAGAAGAAAGGGCGGAGATTCCCCCACCCCTCAACGAAAACACGGAGAGAGTCCCTCCAAGTCATTCAGCTGATTTCTAGCAGCGAGCTCCTCTCTCTCTTGGTAGGTCTCCATCTCCTCTGAAGAGAATTGAAGGGAGCTCGCTTCTAGTCGAAGAAGACAAGGCTCAACGCATCTCCAGTTTCAATAAGAACTGCGGCTGCCTCTTCGTCGACAAGAAGAGAGAGGAGCTCCTTGTCGTCCCCTCTTCCTCTTCAAGGGATAGAAGAGGGATAGCTTTCAAGAAGTGAGGACAGAGCTCGCTCAATTTTCAAAAGAAGAATCTGATCCTCCCCTCATCCTTCAACAAGACATGAGCAGCCCTCTACCCCATGCTCTGAATTAGCTTCCAAAAAGACAAATCCTCTGCCTCATCCTCGACAAGAAGAGACTGAGAGCTTCCTCCAAACTAATGGGACAAAAGAAAGCGCCATCTCAACAAAGCAAACAGGCCGCTCCAACTTCATGAGAAAGAAGAGGGCACCGTTTACCCTTCGGCAAGAAGAGACCTCCTTTCTTTCCTGATAAGGGGAGGGGATCCTGATTATTTCCGTCGCCGTTTTAAAAATGGAAGAGAGCATACACTCAAGAAGAAAAGGTGGAGCTCCCCCCCAACTCAAGAAGAAAGGGTGGAGCTCCCCCTAATATTCAAACAAAGACATCTGGTCGTCCCTCAGCCTTCAAAAGGAAATGACCTCATGCTCCAAAACAAGAAGAGAGCCCCCAGGATATTTCTAAGTCCCGGGTTTCCATTCTCTTCACACATTCACACTCTTCACAATTATCGTTCTCTTCGCCCACAAGCATAAAGAACGATACCGTGCAAGTATTTGAAAGCGTGAAGATAATGGGCAACTGCCGAATTGGTAAGGGTTTTTGGTGGTCCCCAATCTCTTCACACATTCACACTCTTCAAAATTATCGTTCTCTGCACCGGCAGACAGAAAGAACGATTCCGGCAAAGTATGTGAAGAGCTTGAGAGAATGGGAGAGTGACCGCTAGAATATTCGTGGCAACAGAAGAGAGCATCCTTCTAGCAGAGAGCCTTGTTACCTCTTGGTATGTCGCCAATTCGTCTTAAGAAGATTGAAGAGACCTCGCTCCTAGCAAGAAAGGACAGAGCTCCCCTAGCTTCCAAAAAGAAAGATTTTCTACCTCATCCTCCACAAGAAATCACTGAGAGCTTCCTCCCATGTAATGAGACGCAAGAGAGCTTCATCTCAGCCCAGCAGACAGGCCCCTCCAACTTCACGAAAATTCAAAGGTCTCCGTTTACCCATCGGTCGAAAAGAAGATAACTCCTTTCTCTCTTCATATGGGGTTGGATCTTGAGCATTTCTTTTACCTTTTCAAAAGATGGAAACAGCATACGCACAAGAAGAAGAAACCTCCTTTCTCTCTTGGCAGTGGAAAGAGATCCTGACTACTTCCCTTACCTTTTCAAAAGATGGAAAACAGCATACGCACAAGAAGAAGAAACCTCCTTTCTCTCTTAGCAGTGGAAAGAGATCCTGTTATTTTCTTGACGCCCAAGAAGAAACGGTAGGGATTCCCCCAACCCTCAACGAAAACACGGAGAGAGTCCCTCCAAGTCATTCAGCTGATTTCTGGCAGCGAGCTCCTCTTCCTCTTGGTAGGTCTCCATCTCCTCTGAAGAGAATTGAAGGGAGCTCGCTTCTAGTCGAAGAAGACAGGGCTCAAAGCATCTCTGGTTTCAAAAAGAACTGCGGCTGCCTCTTAGTCGACAAGAAGAGAGAGGA